GTTAAAATATTATTGAGAAATTCCGGAACAAAGCATCTAATTTCTAAATTCATTTTGAAAAAGAAATTCCTATCTTTTCCACTTCAACAGTGTAATATCCCGAAAAAGTAAAAATTTGATATAATAAATATTTTAAAAATATCACACTATCAGTATGAAAATTGAGACATATAAGGCAAACCAGACATATCACATCTTAAGGTATATCACCAGACTACAGAAAAAAAAAACAACCAAATAATGAAGTTCATCACTTAAAGTGGGCCCATATTTTCACGAATATGGCATATTCCCTTTTAATGATATCGACAGCCACATAGAAATATTCTGTCACTGCAAAAACTAAAAATATTTAGGATACTAAAAGAACTGCGTAGTTCTCATTTTATGAAAAATATTTTCTGTATAATTTTTATTGCATGCTCGAAACTAAGATTTAATAATTTTTGTTTGTTTTGTATTTCTTTAAATACGCCAAACGTAATTACAATTGAAATAAAAAAACAACAAAAACAAAACAACACATTTTTCAATAAAATTGTTCTTACAAGTTTTTACATCAAGTTTTGAAGTTGTTGTTTTTACATCAAGTGATTGTTGTTATAACTGTTATTTGACGTGTATTTTTTATACTGTCGATGGAATATGAGTTCTTTTTAATAAAACCTTTATTCTCGAAATAGACACGTTTTCGGAATTAAGAAAAATTTAGATTACAAAAATAGATTATTTTATTTGAAGTTCGTCGTTTTGATGGTGGCAAATAATGAACCTACTAATCATTGTTTTTTTTTTTTTACTACGTGATTTTAAGTTCTTTTTTATAGATAAAAAGTGTTATAAGAATACTTTAAACTCTTGATAATTGATTTCCCCGTTTCATATGTGCACAGGCATAAATAATGAACTGTGAAGAACATTACATCTTAAAGACATCCAAGAAGATTAAATGCTACGCTATTTCACGCTTGTTCCACTACATTGATTTCCAAGGAACCAACTTACGTATATAACGTTATAACAATACTGTTAGATTAGTTGTGCAACTAAAAAAACAATCTCTTATAACATTATATATATATATATATATTTATATCAACAATGAAGATCTTTGAGACACGCCAGCTTGGAGGGAGTGCATCATTATGAAAATCATATTGATGAAATCCTTCAAAAATAATTAAGAATATTGGATATGGTAGGAGAAAATTCTTTGTGTACCAAATTGTTTCAGTAATGTAGCAATGAAATAAAAAAATATGTCAATTCTTCCCGAGGAGGACTTCAAGTAGCTCAGAAATTTAAAGTTCATTTTCCAATTTAATAAATTTAATTTTTGGCAAAATACCCCGCTTATCCCTGTTGAACAAATCCGTTACCTTGGACAAACGTCTAACGTCTATTCTTCATACCAGACTTAAACGACAAAAATCCGCTCGACGATTCCGACTGCTCCAGCACTTACTAGACAAACGCTCTATGCTTCCAGTTAAGATAGAAACACTTTATTTTCATAAAATATAAAATATAAAGGATTGCTGGCCAATTATATTGGGTTGCTATATACACAGCATACTCTTCTATCCTTAGGACAATATATGAACTTATATATAAATATACAGAAGTATTAATTAATATTAGTAAAATATATATATATATATATATATATATATATATATATATATATATATATATATATATATATATATATACATTTTTATTATTATTATTTATTTTATTTTTTTTTCCTTTTTCCTTTCTTTCATTGTTCATGCTTTTTTTTTTTTTAACATTTAGTTTACCTTTCTCTCACTTCTCTCTCTTTATCTCTATTGTTTTCAATTATTCATAAAATAAATAAATAAATACATAAAGCACGTGGTTGTGAATGATTCCCAGGGAGTCGAGGACTATATTTTCAGCCAACCTCGCTACGTCCTTAATGTCGACACCTAGTTCCTCAAGCAAGCTCCTTGTTCTTTTTGGGATAGTTCTGCGAGACCCAAACCAGAGGCCTCTCACGGTGAACTCTCTCTCTCCGAAGGTCTCACGGAATTTATCTTTTAGGAAAGGGATACATTTATCGTATGTTTTCTTCTTTTCCCTTTCCACTTCACCCGCCTGATCGAGGTCATTGCTCTCAAAGCCGACAGTTGGATCCAAGATCAGCGCTGTCCTTCCTGTCTTGGGAAATGCGACGATATCCGCGTATCTCGTAGAGCCTTCACTATCGATGCAATATACTTCGTCAAAGCAGGTGAATTTCCTTTCCATAAGGAGCCTCATCAACTCGAACTTGACCCGGTGGTGACGACATGTTATGATTAGGGAGTTGTTGGGGCATTTTCCCAGCACATGGGCTGGTGTTTCAGACTCTCTGCCGCATTTACGGCGGTGAAGAGTGAAGACGACAGGGGACCGCCTTGGAGCACACCGCGCAGCACTTTGATCTGGCTAGTTGCATGGACACCGTTATTAATCTTTATGGTGTTCGTGCTAAGGAGAGCCGGTATGACATTTGTAAGATTCGGTGACACACCTCTCGCTTTTAGGGAGCTCACGATGTGTTTGTGGCCAACATTGTCAAAAGCACCGACAACGTCGAGGAAAACTATCGCACAGTCATTTTTCATTTTTTGTGCATCTTTTAATACCGCGTCGATAATCCTCGCGTTGACGTGCGTTCCCGGGAGACCTTTTATAAAGCCTCTCTGACTCTTGTGGAAGGTGACCTGCTTTCTTAATTCGTGGTTCAGAACCTTCTCTATGATTCGGCGCACAATCGAATATATGGTGATCGGTCTCCAGGTAGAGATATTATTTATATCACCTTTGCCCTTATGTATTAATATTGTGCGCCCTTGTCGAAGTGGTTCCGGAACATAGGCCACCTTCAGCATTATCTCTGCAATCGTTCTGATAATGTTTGACACGTCAAAATATTTTATTGTGCGGATCAGAACTCCATCAGGCCTCGGCGATGTGTCCATTGACGTTGACTTAATGGCTTTCTTGACAGCTTCTATGTCAATGGACAGCAAATTTGGCATCGGGGCACACTGTTCGTAATCCGCACGCCCGCAGAGATTTCCGTTTTCAAAGAGGTCTTTATAATGCCTCTCGATTTCGGCCATTTTTAGAGGACACCGTTTTGGAGCGTTGGAATTCATTACAGTTTGCACAACCTTTTTTCTTTTATTATAATAATTATATTGGGCAACCTCATACTGATACTGCTCCTGCTGAAGACTCCTGTCTGCTTTGTTAGCCCTCTGCGGATTTGAAACTTGTCCAGCACCCTTGTCAGCCATATTCATTTTATTTTTTTTCCTCATCCTATAAAATTTTACGGCTGGGTGCTGGGGACCTGGCAGTTCGGCATTGATAACTTTGAGGAACTTTAGGAACTTGCCTACGGCCTCATCAAAATCCGCAGTATTCACTATATTTTGCTTTAAAAGGTTCTTGAACGTAGCAAACCATTCAACAATGTTATTATATTGTGGTGTTCACATTTACTGAATGTATTTTTTTTTTATGTAATACAGTTGTAAATCTGAACAACTGTTTTATGTTTTTATTTTCTGTTATCACATTTACTTGACTCTTAATACAGTCGTAAATATCATAAGTAAAAAAAACTAGACTGCCTCAATTATGGTATGAAAACCCATCTACTCCAGTCGTTGTACCCAACCTTCCACTGCTACTTATCTGATCGCAACTTTCGAGTTCGCTGTGGTACAGGCTTTTTCAATTCCTACACAGTTGAAGCCAGTTTTCATCCTGGCAGCGTCTTGGGCCCCGTCCTTTATAGCCTTTTTACCGCTGATATCTCTGTCCAACCCGATGCCTTCCCGGCAACATTTGCTGATGACACTTATCATCCAACCCAGTTCTCGAAACAGCATTCTTAAATATGCAAAGACACCTCTCCCTGATTGAGCACTGGTGTAATAAATAGCACATCAAAGTAAACGAATCCAAATGCAAACACATTACCTTCACACTCCGGAGCAGATCCTGTCTACCAGTCCACTTTAATTCCATCCAACTTCCAACTTTTCCAGACACAGTCTGGTATTTTGGCTTACTCTTAGACCAAAGACTAACAATGAACCCACATACCAGGCTTTAAAGACAAGAACTTAACAGACGATACGGCCAATTATACAGGCTACTGACAAGAAAAGCTTTCAATGGACAACAAATTACTGATCTACAAGAGAATCCGAAAACCCATTTGGACCTACGGACTTGAGCTTTGGGGAAGTTAAAATTTTCTTCCATGCAATGCATCGAATCCTTTCATTCCAAAGTCTCTGTTCTATGTAATCAACAAAACCCTACATCATAACCTTAATATCCTGTTTGTCCTAGACCTTATCCCTAAAATTTTTACCAAATTCCATTAGAACCTTACAAATCATCCAAATCCCATTGCACAATACCTATCTAGTTCTACTCATCCCTACAATCCTCCTCGAAGGTTGAAACGCCGTTAGCCCAGATATCTTTTGTAGTATATATCTTGGAGTTCTGGCAATGGCCAGATTCTCCACTCAAGACATGAGTGTGTGTGGCTAATATGCACTCGCTAAATCTCCACTGGCTTTAGCACCAGTGACGAGTCCTTCTTTTCCTTCTATAGTTGGAGGGACAAACCTGGCTTGGATTTCTCTGGCTGATTGTATATATTGTATATAATTATGACTGTGTTTTTATGTTTTTGATTTACTGATCTTAGGTTATTTTACTGTTTATTATACATAGTTTTTGATTATTATTATTGTTTTCTGCATATATGGTATGACTGTATATCTCACTATAATTATTGTACAGGTGACAGATTATTATATTTCAACATAAATTAAAAAACAAAACAAATTATAGCATATTTTATTTTATTAGTTAAAAAACTTTAATGTTTTAGAATATCATCTACATCTTCGGAACATTTTGTGAAATTGGTTTTACCTTATCTGTAATTTTGTATCAACATGGATTATTTATATACGATAGATAAAAAAAGGTAACTATAGTTAAATCGTATTAACATTCGAAATAATATACACATTTCTGTAATACAACACAAATTCCTTATATTGGTCATATATTATAGCTAAAAATATTGAAAAAAACAAAACAAAAATTAATCATATTACTGGTTTAACTATGTTTCTATAAATATTTCAGTGATACCTTATTATATTTTGTTTAGGAATTGAAAGAATATTTTTCTCAATATGTTTTAATTTATTTTTAAATTTCATTATTAAATAATGATGCTAATGTTATTGCAAAAAACCAATAATTTATTTTTGATTTATTATTGAATTATTAGTACATAGATTTTTTGTATCAATGTTACAGCTTTTGAATAAATCTAATGTTTCTTGCGTGCTGATTTTTTTTTTTTCTATCAAGAACAAATTATTTATATATATTTTTGTCAGAAAAATTGTAGTTTTATTATTTTTTTCAATTGTTATGTTAATTTCAATTAAATTATGGTTATACATATTCATTTAGAAAATTTATATAAATAAAAAAATATACGTAATATAAAATAAATTTTACAAAATGTTCTGAAGATGAGAATGATTCTCTAAATTGTAAATATTTTAAAGTATTTTGTTTTTAACTGATTAAATGGAAATAGATTGATTGTCAAAGACTTTTTATTTTCAGAAAATTCAAAACTTAATGCTAAATTTTTTCAATTGTATTTCATATGGGACACTATCTCTTTTAACTTGATATCTCCCATCCTTGTTTTCTTAGAAAATCAAATTATTTGGAAAAATACTTTCCTTAACTGTAAATAGGCTGCTATCTCTAGTCGGAACTAGGAATTAATTAATTGATGGTGTTATTGCAGACAATCACATCTCTGCAATCCAACATCGCTAATATTCTGCCTCCGAACGAAGAGTTCTCTGACAAAGTGGAAGAAAGCAATACAATTAATCTTCATCAAAAAATAATTCAGACATTTCCTTAAGTAAGCTTCGAGCCTGACAAATTGACTTGGAGAAGAGATATTGACAGTACTTGAGCTCGCCTAAGGCCTGGGAGCTTTTAGCTCAACAGTAATGACCTGTGAGTACTCTTTGCTTTTCGCCATAATGTTTCTTATAAATTTCTTCATTAATAACAAGAAAAATCCATAAAGAATGCCTCAAAAATATTTTCTGAAATCAAATCCTATTGGTAAAATAATACTTATAAATTCTCTTCTCGGTCTGATCACGGTTTATTGAACGATTTTCTAGAGATCGTTGGTTTTTTAACCGTGAGTGCCTATAAGAGAGTTGCATATCGCAAGTTGTGCTACAAAAATGTTAGTGTGGGGAAGAGGCACATTTTTACACTGGCGATTTTTGAGTGGACAACGTTTCATGGAGCTATGAATTTTCAGAGGGTACAGTATTTCTAAGAGAACTTTCAAACTAGTGGGAAAATAGTGGAATAGACCACGACCAGTGTATTTGTAAATTAATTACAATTTTACTTTTTTTTTAATGCTTTTACTTGTACCCGTTTTAAAAAAGAGGAACGATGAAATTTCTTACAAAGAGGTATGATATTTGCTGGGAATGGGCACTCCTGTTTTTAACTTCTCCGGGGCTCTAAGAAGGTTTTAAATGATATCAAATTATCGCAAACCATCACAAATCAAAATGGCTAGGTTTAAAAACCTTCGAATGTTACTCGAATAGTTTCTCGAATGTTAGTCATTAATGCAAGGCCACCTTACTTCTCAAATAGTCCAAATGTTGGGTACAGTAGAGTATCTGCGGTCCCACTACCTTTAGTGCATCCATATTGCCGTGGATGGCCATAGGATCGTCATCAGTAAGGTTTTCTGCAATTTAATCATGATCGAGAGGAGACATATAGGCCGATAACTTGTCTAATTGCTTGTTCTTATCTCCTCCCTTATAAATGAGCCTAATGGGATAAATCTTCCATATTCTAGGAATGGATCCCTCTTCATTACCTTGGGACGGATCATCCCTGCTGTACCTTTCCGCAATAACCATTTCTGCTGTCTTCTCCAGAGTTGTTGCCTGGGTTGGCTTTCACGTTTCAATGTGGTTATTACCTGCTGTAGATTCCACTTACTCTGTAAAGAAACTCTGTAAAAAATACCTTACCAGGAGTTCTTGGACGATGCTTCGACAATGAACTCATCTTAATACTTTCTCTTTCGAGAGCACACTTCGTTTTGATATGCCCTGAACTTGGACTATGATCCTAAAGACCCTATAATAGACCATATATTTGGTCCGTCTCCGCTGCATTCCATTCTTCGTCGAATAATTTTTCCTCCAGCGTTGACCGGAATGTATTCCAATTTTCTCTTCGAGTGATATAATCCATATAGATGCCGTGAGAACTTTTTATATTTTCCTGCAGCTTTGTTGGTCGAAACTCGTCTTAGGCCGGAGAGTCTAATCGTTATACGGCTTGCTATCATCGGCGATGCCAATCTCTATTCTAGAACCTCTTCTATTCCTTTGATTGGATCTGCAGACCGTGTTCACGGAGTTGGTATCTCAGCATATGATCACGTTCCTATTGCAAGCCGTGATCTTCTCCATGTCGTTGTCAATATCACATCCGCCAGTCAGGTGTGATGAAAACTACATGTGTAGTCGCCAGAAGGCTTTTCCATAAGTTTTGCTCATTTGTGCTGCAAGTGAATGATCCTTTTTATACAACAGATCTTCCCTCACCTATCATTAATATTATCTACCTCTTTAGATATCAGAGACCGAATCATATTTCACCTATATTTCTTTTTCAAAGAAATCACTTCTGAGGTAATGTCAGGAATCCTTAAATATTACATGTAGAATGATTTTCTTTCAAATTATAGAATTTTTAAATGTGTTCTAATATGACACTATAACATCCAACAGAATCTGAAAAACTAATTTTCGCAATATTACATCTATTTACATATTAACATTGCTCATAACCATCAAAACTAGACGAAAACTCTCCATTAAAGTAAAGTGGATGACTTGTAATACATAGAAAGACAACATATTCAAGCAGTTAATATGTAAATGCATAAGGTAATAATAAAATTAAATGGGAACGAAGTGTTTACCTGAGTTCGCATTACATTAAACTGTTAGAAATTCGTAACCTTGCTTCCTCTTTATTAGTACCAACAGGTTGATAGATGCGCCAAATAATGCCTGGCCACTAAAATATATATTTAGATTTTGATTTAAGTATTCCAATAGTAAAACAAAAATAATTTTTAGAAAATATCAAATTTAAACAATTAATTATTAAATTTTTCAGTTACTTAAGGTAACGTTAAAGTACGTAAATATGATACCGGTGTTTGTTTTTCCTTACTTTCTTTATTTTTAGCTTGGTTTAGGTGAATCATAATTATTGATCAAAAATTTACTTTCTTTACAAATTAAAATTCTAAAGTAACAAAGAATATTATTATTACTTCTCTCTGTACTCTCAGCTCAAATGGTTTTTATTCGCTTTCAAAACTAAATTTAATTTACTCTTCAACGAGCATCGATCCTTGTCTTTCAGCTACATTACGTGCTGGCTATTTTATTCGAACGAATGGTCGAATGCGCGCTAGTGCAACTTTACCGACCATTGGATAGGAAAATTACTAAAATATTCAGAGCAATGTATTGCTGCAGTTTTATTTACGAAAAGTTTACCTATTTCGCCTTACAACAAGAACTGATGTTAGACTATTTTATATTTTCACTGCGTTATCCTGAAGATATTTTTTGGTTTACGTTAAGCCAGAGTACATTAAAATACTACTTAATAACTTTTGTTTCAAATTTATAAAAAAGAACACGTTGCATAATCGTTGAATCAGTAAATTTCATGTAGGTACGAATAAAAGTTATTTCTGCATAGATTTAAATCAAAAGTGATTAAATCTTACATACAATGTGCATTTAATTTTATTTTTTATTAATTAAAAAACTTGCATGTGTTTATTCAAGTAGTTATTTTGATTAGTTTAGTTTCTTTTTGTTTAGTTTAGTATATTTTAGTTTATATACATTTAGTATTAGTATTATTATTTTGCTGTTTATTTATTTTTATTTATTGTGCATTGTGTGAATAAGCTATTCCTTATCACTATCACTACTGTCCTTAGATGTGACAGATTGTAATACATCTTAATAAAAAAAAAATTAAGAGACTTCAATATCTCACAAATTAACACAGTTTTTAACTTGACATAAACATCTGATGAATACTGACTGATACATGTCACTACCTACAACGGAAAAACTTCTCAGACTTTTTATCATATTCTTTACGACTGCCGTTCCTTTGACGGTAAACGCCATAATTTAATAAGAAGCATGCTTCTTCAAGGTGATAACTGGCCACTAAGAGAGAAGGATATTTTCAAAAAAGACAACAAGGGGATGAAGAATTTTACTCTTGAAGTTGATCTCCAACTCCTCCAAAAAGACTGTGGTGATTAATAATTTTATTGCCGATATTTTGTCTTGTTTTTTAATTATGTATTTTCTGTTTTAGTTAATTTATAATTATCTCATGTATTATTTATTTTGTATTTCGGTTTCAGTGATTCATCAGGAAAAACTGAACTTTATCATTTTTTGAAAGTTGAAAGTTATTTATTGAAAAATATTACAATCTGTCTCAAGGACATTTATAATTGTGTTCTGAAATCACATTCACACTCTATGTACAATAAATAAAATAAATTATAGAGAAAAATAATATATATACACTAAATAAGAATAAAATAACATAAAAATAAATAATAAAAAAAAAAACATACATACCTATATATAATATTTACAATCTGGCGAGAGAACTCCAAAACAGACTAGTCCCTCCAACTGTGGAGGAAAAAGTGTGACTCCAGGATATCTCTGCACTTCTCTCTCCACCGCGTCACTGGGGCTAAATCCAGCATTGAGCAAGAGTGCAAACTTTATATTATAACTAATTTGTAACTTTTACTAGAATTGTAATACTTTAATTGATACTTGTATTATGCGTAATGCATGGAGCATGTAAAATTAATAATACACGGCCTTCCTACACAGTTACTGTATGAGGAAACATAAATATATTGACAATTTATATTCGACACACCTTACGCATAATATGATAACAACACAAATTTGAAAATATTTATAATATAATAAAATATTTTTTTCAGTATTTTGAGCTCTTATTGTTCCAAAATATTCAAGAGATCTCACCGATTCATTTGAACCATTTAACCCAAAAAATTAGTCGAGTCATTCACTCAATTAGTCGTTTTAGCGAATATATAGAACTAGCTGGCCCGTGTGAATAATTCTCATAACATATTAGCCAGAGAACAACTGATATAATAGTATGGAAATATGTTAATGGAATGTATTATGGGTTGGAAGAATTCATTTTTCTTTTCTTGATCGAATTAAAATATTTATTTCATAAAAAATAAACCAAAACATTTGTACAATTTACTATAATCTATATCTTTGCTCATAATGATCCGATTTCGAAATATATATATATATATATATATTTTTTTTTTTGTTTTGTAGAAAACTTTTAATTATTCATGGATATAATCCACCATAAATTGCAGTTTCTGAGATGTTGAGGGTTGTGTTTAGACAATCTTTAAAATATAGGTCCAATAATTGGAACTAACGAAAATATAGTGAAATAAAACACCAGTGAGAAACAATATATAGTATATATTGTAATTATTTCTAACGATGAAGACTTTCCAACCATTTACGGGCCATTTTAGCCCTTACACGATACTTATATTACGCAATACAAAAATAACAGTAAACTTGAAGGTAGAAAATATTAACATTTACAAAAAATTAAATTGTTGTATAGTTGCGTTTTTTAATAAATAAAAACAATTTGATGCCATCTCCGTGTTGTTTTTCAAATTGTCAGCAATATTATTTTCCAGCTCCACTTCACT